TTTTAGTTTTGGTATAGAGATCATGGTGGCCTTGATGGCCCAATCAGGACTTATGTGCTAGTTGACAATTTCTTTATATGAACTCTTGGGAATAGTTGTTTCTTTTGTAGATCTGTTGACAGGGGCCTTGCCGGCCGAGGGCTTAGTTTTAAGCCGAGATATACTTGTTTGTTTTCTTAAATGCATGTGACTGTCATGCGCTAGTAGCAAATGGTTCGGCAGGGTCGGCTCGGGGCTGAGTTTTGGCCTTAGGAGCTAGTTGCGCCCCTTGAGTTGGGGCGTGACATTAGGCCTACAAGTTATCATAAAGTGTCCCCATTACAATTGACTTTTGATAAAAAACTAAACATTTTCCATCTTAGAATATTTGGATGTGCGGTATATGTTCCAATTGCTCCACCACAACGTACAAAGATAGGTTCCCAAAGAAGGTTGGGATATATATTGGGTATGCATCTCTTTCTATTATAAAATATTTGGAACCTATTACTAGAGATTTATTCACGGCAAGATTTGTTGATTATCATTTTGATGAATCAACAACATACACAACATTAGGGGGAGAAAATAAGCAACTGAAAAAGGAAATAGATTGGAATACATTATTACTATCTCATTTAGATCCTCACACAAATAAATGTGAAATAGAAGTTCAAAAGATAATTCATTTGCAAAATATTGCAAATCAACTGCCATAAGCATTTACTGACTTATCAAGAATTACTAAATCTCATACTCTCGAGTTGATGTCCCGGTAGGACAATTAATTAATGCAAATGAGTCTAAAGCACGTTTAAAACATGATAGACCGATTGGTTCTAAAGTAAAAAATCCTCGAAAAGGGAAAGGAACAAATGGTCATGATATAAAAGAACCTACTCAAGAAGAGTAAGGAGACATAATAATTGATGAAACCTTGGAAGAGGTTCAAGTGCCTGAAAATAACGAAGAGATCTCAATAAATTATGTCTCATTGGAAAAAATGTGCAATCGAAATAATATAATTATCGACAATATTTTTACTTATAATATTGCTATTAAAATAATGCAACAAGATGAGGATTATGAACCAAAATCTGTCGAGCAATGTATATAGAGGAATGATTGGCCAAAATAGAAATATGCAATTCAAGTTGAATTAGATTCGCTTGAAAAACACAAAGTTTTTGGACCGATATTCTGAACACCTGAAGGTATAAATCTTGTCAGGTACAAATAGGTTTTTGTGCTAAAACGAAATTAGAAAAATGAAGTCGTAACATATGAAGCACGACTTGTGGCACAACGATTTTCACAAAGACCTGACATTGATTATATAGAAACATATTCTCATGTGGTGGATGCAATCACTTTCAGGTATCTTATTAATATGGAAGTTCATGAAAAACTTGACATGCATCTAATAGATGTCGTTGCAACCTGTTTATATGGCTCAGTAGACAACGACATTTTTATGAAAAATCCCGAAGGGTTTAAAATGCCTGAAATGTATAAAGATTCCCGGGAAACTTGTTCAATAAAACTTCAAAAATCATAATACGGATTGAAATAATCAGGACACATGTAGTATAATCGCCTTAGCAAATACCTATTAAAGAAAGGGTACAAGAATGACTCAATTTGTCCTTGTGTATTTATTAAAAGGTCTGGATCATAATTTGTTATAATAGCGGTATATTTTTTATGACTTGAATATCATTGAAACTCGTGAAGGGATTTCAAAGACAATAGAATGTCTCAAAAAGAAATTTGAAATGAAAGATCTTGGAAGGACAAAATGAACATTTTACGAATAGAATATTTATTCATCAATCGACATATACCAAACTTATTTTTAAAAGAGTTTACATGGATAAAGCACATCCATTAAGTACCCTAATGATTGTAAGATCACTTGATATTAATAAAGATAGATTTTGACCTCATGAAAATGATGAAAAACTTGTTGGCGATAAGACCTCATATCTTAGTGCAATTGGTGCATTGATGTACCTTGCTTATAATTCTCGACCAAATATATTTTTAGTTCTTCCCCAACACAGAGACACTGGAATGGTATTAAACACATATTCAGATATTTTTTAGGAACCATAGATATGAGACTATTTTATTCAAAAGGTGGTCCGATTCACATTTAATTGGTTATGCAGATGCAGGATATTTGTCTAACCCATATAGAAGTCGATCTATTTACATATGGAGGTACAACCATATCATGGTGTTCAACAAAACAAACTATGATTGCTACTTCTTCAAATCATGCAGAAATAATAGCCATTCATGAAGTTAGTCGAGAATATGTTTGGTTGAGATCTAT